TTTGTATCTTATCTACCCTTTGGCAATAGCATTTCCAAGTAAGGAAAACAGAAAATATTTTTATGAGAAATAACACAGCAATGTAATACTTTTTTCTTTATTGGTTTTTTTTTTTTTTTTTTTGTTACAAAAGAAAATGTAGATAGTAAAATGAACAAGAAACTGTTGGTAGGGGAAAAACAATTATCAGGATGGAAAACCAAGGACTAAGCCTTGATCCATACACAAGGAAGAATTAATTGTGCTGCCCTCTCTAAACATGTTATAACAGAACTAGGGATTAATAAAAACTGTACGTGTCAACCAGGTCACAGGTGTTCAGAGGTTTAATAGGTTCAAATCTTCAGTTCACAGTTAGAGCATTAAAAATTAGTTTCTCAACCACCTCTCTACACAGACCTTTAATGCAACACTCTTTAATGAAAATACATGATTTAAAAAGGCAGCGGCATCAGTAGGTTCTTTGGTCTTTTCATTGTAGAAAAGAGGTCAAGAACTAGCAGATAAAAGATAAACAAAGCAAAGGAAATGAAGTGCTGGTTTAATGTGCCAATGTTTGGATATTTGCAAGGACAGTAAAAAAGAATAAAATCCAACCATTCCCATTTTTATCAAAGTAGTTACTATAGATGTCTAGCCCAGAACCAGCGGTGTTAGGAAGTGTACCTAGCACAACACAAGCTATTCCAAAAAGCTTACCACATGGACTTAAAATTCAACATTCAGAAAAAAGTAGTCTGAAAATAAATTGAGGGAAGATGGGGAAAAAAAGTGGAAAGGGCAATAGTTGCACAGATACGCTAAACATAATAATCTGCTTTAATTAATTTCTCCAGTTTTTATTTATGTAAACTAGAAAACAAACATGAAACTCTTCCTTAAGCCATATGTATTTCAAAGCTGAACTATAGCAGAACACTGCACTTCAGTAGACCCTGCAGAAACAAGGGAAAACTTGCAGTTAATCACAAATTTTGACCATTTAGGAGAGAATTAACAAGCCCTTCATCAGGAGCATGAGCTGATTGCATTTGTATTTCTGTAACTAAATATATTTTCTCCTTGAGGAACTTGCTGAGCCTTCAGTGCTGCACTTAAAACAACCTCTAAACATAAAAACACTTTCTTCAACATACATTCTTCACATCTCAGTGAATCACTACCTGTTGTGTACTGTTCACCAGAAAAGCTTTCCTTACAAATCAAACAAACTGATACAGGTTATACTCAGAGTATAACAATATCAAAAGAATGCTGAAGGCAAAATTTAACTTAAAAGCTTGCTTAATTTGAAGTCTGCTTTCTTAAAAAAGCAACTTCGATACTGTGGCAGATTGAAAAACGTTTTAAATTATTCGATTTTTCACATTTCTCTTGCGGTATATCCAGGTACATGTCAGAGAAAAGCTTTCAGCACTGCAGACAGCTAGCTGTCCTGCTTGACAGTGTAAGAAACAAAACAAAGCTATAAGTTCCTTAAATAATCTTACCGTCATGTTTTCACTGCCACAAAGACTATCAACAGAAAGCACAATATTTTAGAGTAGTTCATGTTTGTATAAATCAACGTAAAACACCAATATCAAACAGCAAAATGCTTCCGAATTACAGGAGGCAGTAAAAATATATTCCTTAGGAGAAAGTTAATCCAGCTGAGCTTTTCCAAATTCAATTTCAAATTCACCCATTACCAAAGACAGAGCCGGACTTTTTCCACTGCTACTTTTTGACCCTGACCCGCTCTGAAAAACTTATTTTCGATAATGCAACAGAATTCTGCCACCTCTCCATGATAAACTACTTAGGATGTGGACTGTCTCTTGCTAAGCATTTGCATAGTAATAATGCAATTGCACCCTGGACCTCTGCCGCATTAAGGGCATTAAAAGGCATACCAAAATTGAATTTATTGTCTTGTGCAAATTCATAGGGATCCCACAAAAACAAGGAGGGAAAGAAAAAAAAATTGCAAAGCCTTTTAATTAAATAAATTAAAAATTTTCTCTTCAATTCCAAAGAACTCATTTAAACATTTTTACAGAACGCTGAAGCTGGACACTGCAGCAGAAACACAGGCATCAAAATCAGAAAACAAAAATGATTACATACAATTGAAAACATGTTCTAAGGCTCAAAGCAAGCCCAATGAAAAAAGGCATTAATGGTCAAAAAAAAAAAATATCATTACAGTATAGCATTAAACTTCAATTTAAATAAAATTTAAATTTAAACATAAAATAATTCTTTCTTTTCAGGGCACCTCTGAAAAAGAAAAGTAGAACTGCATTTTGTGTAACACATTTTTAAAGGAAGTTTCAAAAATATATAAAAACATACTGTGTTACCTGCAATGTTTAATAAAGCTTCATAAACACCACAGACTTTTGTTTAATTAAAGAATTACCAACACAAATATTCATGGAATAATTGCAGTTTCTTAGAATAGAAGCATCATTTGAGTTTGATGTGTTGCTGTTCTGGACCTTTCCTCTTTCCTTTGGTAACCAAGGCCAGAGGAATTTAAAACAACTTTAGAAATAATGAAATCACTGAACTCCAAAACCTGCCTGACATCAAGTTGCTGTCTAGCAGATTTTAAAACACTCTTGAAAACAGAGCTAAAAGAGTTTCTTATAATGGAAACTCTGACAGACCAAGAACTATAGTTATACTAGGAGCTGTCATTGTAATATTCTTTCCTTTCCTTCCTGTCATACTGAAATTTCCATTTTATTCTTCATTTGTCATTATTTTCTGTAAAGGTAGTCACTTAATTAAAGAAACTAGGGGTTTTTTTTGCAACCTACCTTCTAGTTTCACACTTTTTTTTTACTTCTTCATTGTTCTCACTGATTTTGATCACTAATTTGTCTTTCTAGCTTTAGCTGGTAACTGTTTAGGTGGAAGCTTCAGAAAGTTGAACTGAAAAACTTGGATTCAGCTGCTTAACTTAATCATGGAAGTTTTATTTTTCAAAACTATTATACCAAGAGTATGAACACTTTGATTTTAATCGCAATCAAATTTAATGAATGATGGCAAAACTCCCCACTACTTAAACTTACTAGTGCACCAACAATAACTTGTTACAAACCACCGAAAATTTGAATGTTTCTCATATATTTTGACTGTATAAGAGTACAGACAAGAACACTGAATAAAACAGTCTCCATCAAAGAGAAACTGCAGAATCTTGCTCTGATGCAAAATTCAAGTTTGAACATATTTAGATTCCTAAAGTATCACTTCTGAAGCATTTAGAAATAAATCAAACTGCTCTATTGCTTTTACTCTTGGTTGTGTTCACACATGGCGTTTGGAGGGAAACTGAGACTGAATTCAACTTTTTAGCTAGCTTTATAAAGATTAGTCCTCATCAGACAAAACTATTCCTAGCTAACTAGAATAATGATGGTAGAAGGAATTCTGGCCACAGAATCCAAAATACTGGAAGTGATCCGCATTACCAAATTTGATCTGTGGCTCAGATCACTGGATCGTGTCCAATTTGAACCACCAGCTGCCTGACTGGAAGACAGGAGAAAGTCAACACTGTGCAAACTGCAAAACTTAAGTTACATAACTGTATAATTTAAATGCAGCCCCAGTTATTTTCTGTATAGCAATAGAAAACTGTAATGAAGATCTAAATAATTCTTTAACTAGGAACCACTGAGCTATATCCTGACTGGGATTCAGGAAAAGACATTCCATTACCGACTGAGGACTACAAACTGATCTATAGCACTGCTTTGGGAGTGATGAGTAGCAAAAAAACTGGAGTATATCTACAAAATTTAATATGAACATCATGGGACAGAGAGAAAGATGGGTACAAGACTCATGGTAAAATCATGGTTACATGTTTACCTTAAGGCATGAAACATTTTCACTACAAGTGTGTACCTGCAAGTTTCTACTTGCAGAAAGAAAAATATTTATTGCAACATCTTTAAAAAGGCATTGTTCTTCTACATTCAGTTTCTCAGAGGCTGAATTTCAAGAAGTATCAACTAGAATCAACTTTCACAAAAATACCACAGATTCCATAATTTCATTAACTACTAAGTAAAAGCAACATTCAGGATAGTCAAATATGGTGTAAAGCACTAGCAAATAACCATTACAAAAATGTAATTAAAGGAACAACCAAAAGACTACCTAATGAGTACACAGTGTACATCTGCAAGTGAAATTATAGACAAGAAGGTAGGGGAAAAGAAAGGGACAACAAAAAGCCTCATCCTAATTAGGTAAACATATGACACAAAAAAATAACAATAGCGGAGTGTTGGTATTTTATGATTAAATGCTAAATAAAGATAAGAAATTGACAAAAATACAGATTATGTGAGAATACAGCGTATCATTCTCTGACTTTCATGTACATAGTTATCTTCTACTACAGAAGCTTTTAATTTCTCAAGGTTAGTAGAAATTATTAAATAGGTGATTTTGTAGGGGGTAGATTTTTTTTGTAATTATTACATAAGACACAGAAATGCTTCCTGTCCTAAAATGTAGTTCAAACCAAAGGTCCTCCTAAACATACAGCATAGGAAAATTAAAAACTGGGAGTCTGGGTTATGAAAATAAGCCATATGACTAAAAAGTGAATCCATTTTCCAGAACGCCCACACAGACAAGAGCTTCTGATGTGAAAAATGGTCTCTGCAAAAGCTAAATTGCACAGATTATTTCCATGAAAAGTTAGAAGCTGCACTACATGCAGATTATACGACATCTACCGTAACAAGATTTTAAAAAGAAACGCAACTTTTTGTGTTATTACAGTATGAACAATTATTTGATTGTTCAGTGCGTATGACAAATACCAATAGTTATTTAATTGAATAATTGTCTTCCTTTAGAACTTACATAGGCAGAGATGCTTGCTTAGTTTCTGCAGGCTTGTTTGCCTCTTGCTACAGGCAAGTTTTGGCTACCTTCAAAAAGAGGTGCAACAATGTACACTAGCCAACAAAACATTTGTGGCTTACCTTGGCACTGAAATCCTTGTTTTCCAAATCCCCTGCATAAAAAAAAAAAAAAAAAAAGGAAAAAAACCTTAGTATGTTTTAGTTATAATTTCTTCTCAATGATATATAACAAAAAGCTTCATATTAAGTTACTTCAGATTTTGCTAAGACAGCAACAGATTTTAAAATATACAACACTGAACAGCCCACCCATTTCAAAGCAGAGAACAATAGCTGCTACCAGCTACGTAATTTCAGCTTCTGGCAAAAAAAAAAAATATTTATTATTATTTTACAAGCTATTTTGGATCTACAATTATCATCACCTGTGATCACTGCATAATATTTCAACTCATTTAATGCCACACATATAGTTAACAGCAATGTAAAATATTCCAAGTTCTAGCAAAGGCGTATAAAACAAACCAAACTTAGTTTTTCATCCAAATTTTAGGATTGCATGCCGATGCTGTTATGTGCCTCAGCTAGATATCAGTCATTTGTTGTAGGAAAAGGAGGCAGGTTTAAGGTTTTGCTTGTTTCAATATAAATGAAAAGACAGGCCTATTAGTTTCCTACTGATTATTCTCCCAGCTTCCATGCTTCATTCCCATAACGAAATACAAATGTGCATGTAACACTTTACCAATGACATGCAAGTGTTTTGTGTGGTATCCAGAGTTCCAACATATACTGTACCTCTGGCACACTGAACTGCTGTTGGTTTTATTTATTTATCTTTAAACAATCAACATTCTCTTTCCACAAAAATAAATATTTTGAGTATCTTCCTTATAAACATTTCTCTGCATTTTCCCTCTTTGCAGAATGTTTTTCATCTGGAGAGCTGGAGCTGTTTACACTCAAAGACAAATGAACAAAAGCCATGAACCATAGAAGCCAGCCAGCAGGCCATATGCAATTAACAACATCAAGTTTAACTAGGAATTTTGTGGAAATGTTTTTTAAAAATTTATATCAACAATTTTCCCACTTTTAAAATCTATGTAGTTAGTGAAAGAACAAGAGCTTTAGTATACTGATACTTCAGATGGAAATTGAAATTACACAGCTTTGAGCATTTCCATAAATTTCTACACAAAAGCCTCTACACCATTTATTGTTACAAGTCAGCCTAAACTAAGAAAGCCAGAAGAAATATGAAATTGTTTGTTTACTTTGCAACATAGATGACTGTAGTGTACTGTCATTCTGCTGCTGTTATCTCTTGTCTTCACAAAAGTAAAAAGCTTGTACTGGAAGCGTGCAAATGCAATTGCAGGAAAGCTGACAGCAGGACTAAGAACATGAAACAGTCTTTAAATAATTTTTCATCCTTTTAAACAGACTTATTTGTAAAGTGCATTCCTGTATTATCTACTCTAAAAGCATAGCCATTCTACAGTGTTTGAGTGGAATTCATGCACTAACCATCTGCAGTCCACTCCCCGAGCAGTTATAACATGAAAGTCTTTAAAAAGATAACAATGCTTCGGAAACAAAACATAGGGGAAAGTTGTTTAATAAGCTAAGGAGGCACTAAACTATTTTGGTAAATATTACCTGGTCAAAAGTAATCTAAGAAAAAAAAATATATTTACACAGTTCATTGAAAGGTTGTATTTACTATTATTCTTTGAACCTTAAAACATATGTTAATTGCCACATGTCATTTTGGAAATAGATGAAGCACCTGTGATGGCATATGATGCATATTCATGAGCTGCCCATCTTCAAATGAGGAAATGAAACAGAAGTTTGAGTTGTCAGATGCTCAGCTGATGACATTAAGAGCTTCCTTGGACTGACTAGCAAGACAAGACAAAAGAGCACAGCCTGTCCTGGCCACCTGGCAGCTACTGGAGACCCTTTCACTTCCAAACCCACCCTGTCATCTCCTGACAGTGTTCCACTTTGGCTTTTAATTGTGCCACTTATGTGCACAAACACAGTCTGACCATAACCCTGCAGCATTTTTTCACACTTCCTAATGCATTCTGGTTTAGATTAACTTTGAAGCAGTTTCTGAAGGTCTATCACTTTTACAATAACAAACTTTTTTTTTTTTAAATAAGAAAAATTTTTAAAAAATAGCCCACACTCAAAAAGTTGACTTGTTTCTCCTTGTTTCTTCTGCAGTCTACAATCTCAGTTCTCCTTCTTTTCCTTCCTTACTCTGCAAATCTATTTCAATCATTTCTGCAGCAGTCCCAGTCTTTTCTTCAGCATGCAAACTGAGGAACACTCAAGAGAGGCAAAGGTCTGTGGTCAGATCCATAAACACATACAAGAAGAGCAAGACACCCGCCACAGAGACAGAGCCAGGTGGGAGCAAACCCCTCTAGATCTTTTACAACTTTAGCTGAAATAAATCACTGCTCTCATTTTCAGCAACGAAGCCTGCAGCGAAAACTTCAGCAGCAGAGCAAAGCTGAAGCTAAACCACATCTCAGGTGGAGGAGAGGAACTCCACGTCGCGGATGTTGCCGCACTGCCCGTACGTACAAAAACACTCAGCCCAACGCGGGGTACACACCCGCTCCTCCCGCCGCACCTCGCCGGGGCGCAGGGCTGAGCCAGCAGGCTCCACACACCCACTCGCGTGGGAGCGAGGGGGGTGAAGGGTGCAGGGCAGCGCCGGGAGATACCGAGAGAGCCCAGAGGCTCGGCCTGCAGCCGAGCGGCCGTCCTGCCCAGAAGAGGGCACGCCAGGAACCGAGAGGTGTATTTTTTTCCCTAACAGCTTAGTAATGAGGGTGTTGGTAGGAAGTTTTCCTCCTTTCCTCTTCTCTTTCTACCAAGAGCCTTTCTCTTAATAATAATAATAAAACCCCCCCAACAAAACAACAAAACAAAAACAAACCAAACCCGTTCCATTCCTAAACATGTAATGTTGCAGCAATGTCACCGTGCGTTCCCGGTCTCTCTGCCCTCCTTCTGCAGCAGAAGGAAAGAAAGCAGGCACCGAGCACAAAGTTAAAGGCAGGGCTACAGAAGTTGTGCCACACAGCAACACCCACAGTCTGAAACAGAAAACCCTCCCGTTTCCACCGCAGCAGCTGGAGCGCTGGCTGAGCTCCCTCCGCTACGGGAAGGCGGGCACGGAGCTGGGGGCTTCGCGGGTGACGGCGGCCAAGCCCGGGGGTCGAGGCGGGGGTGGGAGGGGACAAGAGAGGAGGAAATACAGATGATTTAGGAAGCGATGTCCCGGGCACTGGTCTTCAGACCCTGCTGATTTCTGCGGCACTGGCCAGCGCTGCCTCCAACCCCCCCCCCCCCCCCCCGCGGCATCGGCAAGTTAAGGGTCTCCCCCGCCCCGGGACCGGGGTGCGCCCCGACTCAAACCAGGGTCCCTGGGAGCGCAAACAGCTCGCCTGGAGGAAGATGCGACAGAGCCGGGGGCAGCGAGGCGACACGGCTCTGCCCCAGCGGGGTTCACCTGCCCGACCCCGGGGGCGGCGGCACCGGGGCCCCGGCGGGCGGGAGGGGAAGGGCGGCCGCTCAGCCGAGCCCGGGGACGGCGGCGGGGGCTGCCCTCGGAGCGGGGGGGATCCCCGCCAGCTGAGCGGGCCCAGGCGGAGGTGAAGGGGGGGGGGGGGGCGGGGGGGGGAGGAAGGCGGTCCCGGGCTCTCTCACCAGATGAAGTCGGTGCAGTGGCTGCAGAAGGTGGGCTGCTTGAAGAAACGCGCGATGAATTTGTGCTCCTTCACCTCGTGCACGTTCTTCTGCCTCAGGGCCCCCTTGCGAGCGAAGCGCCGCGCCGCGTCCGGGGCCGCGCCGGGCTCGGAGCCCGGGAACACGTCGGCCATAGCGCCCTCCTTCTCCGCCCGCCCCCCCCCCCCCCCCCAAACCCACCCCCCGCCCGCCGCCGGGAGCCGGGCCGCGCCGGGAAGCACCGCGCCGGGAAGAACCGCCCCGACGTCCGCCCCGTCCGGCGGCCGCCGAGACTCTGGCAGCGGCTGGGCGCTGCCTCCCGCTCCCGCGCCTGACGTCGGAGCGAGAGGAGGATCCCAGGCCCGCGCCGGCTGCTCCGCCCGCGGGGTGAGCGAGCCCCCGGCCGCGGGCGGGGCGGGGCGGGGCGGGGCTGGGGGGGGCGGCGGGGGTGGGGCGTCAGCACCTGCCGCCTCTCGTCAGCGGCCCCGCCCCGCGCACACCGGCTGGCCCCGCGCGCGCACAGCCGCGCGCGCGCGCAAGGGGCAGCGGCTCCACACGCACACGGACACGCAACGCGCGGCTCCTCTCGCTCACACACACACACACACACACACACACACACACGCACCAGCTCCCCGCTGACACGCGGGCTTCCCTCACAGACACACGCACAGGCTTCAAACCAGCTCCCCTTACACACACACACACACAGAGGCTCCGCACACGCACACACAGCCCCTCAGCTCCCTCCACGCACACACACAGAGGGCAGCCGCTTCCCTTCTCTCCCTCATACACAGCAGCTGCCTCCCTGCACGCACACAGAGGGCAGCTCACGCCCAGACACAGTTTTCTCAGTGTCTGCCATGGAAATCGACACCACCTTCCCTGCAAATCGGTCGCGGCACCATGGTGCCCTCAGCATCCCAGGGCCCTGGCGGCAACAGGCCCAGTGACACCCCCCCCCCCCCCCGGCACAGCCGCACTGCCGCGCTTTTACCTCAGCACAGTGGCTGCACCGTGCCACGGGCACCGCCACCACCAAAGAGCACGGCGAGCCCCTGCCCGGCTGCTCTCTGCCGCCTTCTCAGCGTGCGCGCTTCCTCTACCTACCGTGACATATGTTATTCCACCACCACAACAAAAAAAAAAAAAAAAAAAAAAGTGCAGCCCAGACGCTCTCCTGCACAAACCTTTCCCCTTCCTGCAACGCAGAAACCCAGTCGCACCCATGCAAACGCTGCCAGAGGCCATACTGAACAACTGTACATCACACCGTACCCAGTGGACGTGCAACAAATGCAAGAGAAAACTGGCCTCACTCTCTTGACCCACTGCAGTGCGTCATAGAGCTTTCATTTACCATACAATACAAATATCCTCAAGAAAAAACGTAGGAAACAAGTCTGTCACTAATTAATGCATACACACTAAAGACTTTTACTATGCTTTTATGCAGCACACTGACAATGTAATAAAGTATTCTGCAAAATAATAGAACCGTTCATTTATTCACATTGCATACAAAATGTTCACAAGTCCCTGGACATGGAAACATTATCTGCCTATGGGATGCATACAATCTCTCATATTGCTATTTATACAGTATCTCCATACATTCAGAAAAACACCATATAAAGCATGACTGTGTGCATAAAAACTCAATATATGTGCTAAACAAAAAACCCCATGTCCTAATCATTTTTTTTTAATAAATGTTATTCTCATGGCTACAAATTTTCACATAGGGAAAATAAATGCTTATTAAAAGTTCCTCTATGCCAATACATCTACATACTCATAAGTATGTCTGTGTAATAAGGTTTATTTCACAAGAATGAAAGCAAGCTGATTAGCTCAAATGAAGTCTTATTTGCTGATGGGAGAAGTTCACACAGACATTTACCACAGAACAGAAGAAATAACTTGTTACATGCTATCTTATTCTTAATTTTAAAACCTAGGGTGCAGCCTGGCTGAACGGGTATATCCATGGCATTTTCATCAAATAATTGACAACAGGCGTCGCCCTGCATTTTTTCTTAATTTATAGAAACAAGCCAGATGCCCTATAAACTGTTTCTATATGCCCTTGCTTCATGGACTTTGATTTTGCAGCTACTTTCAAATTTGATCTGAAATTCAATAAAATATAAAGATTTTTTTATTTGGTTTCTACCTATTCTACACATTTCAAATCCCCTATTACTCTTCAAAGGGAATAGATTTTTCTTGCCTTAATTAACTTATGCCAAAGCATGAGGAGCACTAAGAAACATTTTGTACTCTCATTAAGTGTTCTATCAAGAAATATGGAACACATTTATTTCTATTCCTTTAGTGCTGCATTACAAACATAGCTACCAAAACGGGAGAATCTGACTGAATGAGAGGCAACTCGTACTAGGTCAGATTAGGGGCAATCTGTACGTTTGGTTGTTCCTTAAAATCTGACAAACCTGCTGAATCATTTTGGATTCCAGTTTCTTTCCTGACAGTGACTCTGGTCAAAATTCATTCACTGAAACATCGGCGAGTGCCCCAGGCTCTTCGTTCCAGCCTGCCGATTGCCTTGTTAGGCCCCAGGGAAGAGCCAAATGACACCAGCCCTGACACTACATGATCACATTAGGATCACTTTACTCTGTATCTGTAAAGCAACCATTTTATCTCAAACCTAATAATTATTTGTATATAGTGATTATACACATTAGGCAAGAGAAAAAATCTATTATGTGTGCATGGCAATCCTCAGACAAGCAGGTAAACCATTATAACAGAACCTTCCCTTACTATATGTAACATATAGTTCCTCCTACTGTCCTATTTTGAATGCACACCACTTACACAACACTTCTTTGAATATGTATATATATTCACCTTCAAATGTCAAGATTTGCCACTATGACCAGGATACCCTTACACTGATACTATGAGGGGTTCCTATGTTCCATTCACCAGACACTTTTTGTATATGCTATCGTAACATCACCATCTGCTTGCTGGGAGGCTTTTAATTGCTTGGGCACCCATTTCTCCTACTCTACACTCATCCTTCCTCTGCAAATTCCTGGAGGAAAGATGTCTGCCATCCCTTCCTGCACACACACATTCCCACCAGCAGCCCGTGACTTGATCTTCTGCTGAGGGTAGTGTTTGCAATTTGTTTCTGGTTCAGGCCATCTGGACAAGGAGTCAGCATTATCGTTGTTTGTGTTCAGGCATATACATGGTTATTAAATCAGAGCACCAGCTTTTCCAATCTCCTGGCAAGCAGCTCCAGAATTCCTGACTCCAAAGCACCATTTACAGGGGCTTCTGATAACAAATTTACTCCTGTATGAATATTTGGATAATATCCTAGCAAGTTCATCTCTGATAGAAGTTCCCATTAGATTGTTTATGAGTTTTTCTCTGAATAATTTGATTATTGCTGTAACAAGCACAACTTCTCAAGTCCTTTCTATATTTGCATCAATACCACCCTAGGTCTGTAAGTGCAAGCATCTGTGTTCATTTTGAAAGAGGTTTCTCAGAGTCATTCTGCTGCCTGTGAAATGCCTTCTCTGTTTACTCATCTGCTGGATCAGCATGCTACTGCCTGCATACTTTTTTGGATCAAAAAGCAATTTAAAAAGTGTCTTCTTCCTAAAAGAAAAGTGTCTGGATTGTTCTGTCCCTATATACATGTGCTGCATCAGATCAGCTCAAAGACAGAGCCAAGGAGAACACCTTCATCAACATCTTTGGCAATTGTGGCTCTCTATTTTGTTATTTCCTCCTTTTAAGACATATTCAACAAACAGGAATCACTTCCTGCTTGAGACCTATAAGGAAGTTTACAACCTAGTTTCTTCTCACATTTCAGAGCAAATTACAACCACTTCCTTTTCTAGGAAGTTATCAGAACAAGTAGCTCCTTTCCAATTCTCTTTTAGGAAGGATGACTTGATCATTGCAAACCCACTGTCTAAAAATTATTTGTTTTACCCAGTCTCATCCTCCAAAGCAATTTCCGCACAGTCAGCTTATGAGACATTTCAACCAGCAACTATTGTGGAATAATTACTTGCCATAATTAAGCCAAAAGCAGTCATCAGTTTCCAATAATACCTGGACTTCAGAGTCAAATTTCAGAAGCCAGGTTTTCCTAATTTATTTTTCCACGCAAAATATTATTTGTTTGCAATCATCTATCGAGCTTAGTGTTGAAGCTCCTATTCATAAGTTTGTCATGTTTTGACCAGTAGCTATTAATTATGAGGTAATGTCCACTACTACTATGTTTTTTTCCAGGCCCTGCTACTCATTCATCAACAAAATTATTTATTGTTCTTACCCAGACACTTTGGCAACAATGTATCCTAGATGTTTCCAAGATTAGAAAAAGGTAGGATGTGGTAGCATAAACAAATACATTTGTGTGAGTGTTCGCGTGTCTGTTAGCCGACTGGTGAGAAGGAGGTAGAAATATTTTGGATCTCTCTATATCAATACTGGTTTCTGCACCTTTCTGCACTTGCGCGTTTACAGTTTGCACAACTTTATCTGTGTCCTCCTGTATTCACACTAATTCTCTTCCCTGCCCTTTTCCCCTCAAAGTTACTCAGATTGCAGGTTGGGAAGTACTGGCTCATTAGACAGATTTCATTATTAAATTATTCCATGTGACAGACAGCTTGTTTACACATGCGAGTACTAATGTGAAAGTTTGAATGTATGTATTAAAACACAGTCAGAAAGAAGACAAAGTACAGAAGGAAGGTCCTATGAGAGATGAATGTCACAGAAAAAATTTCTGACAAAATCTAGGGAAAAAAAAATTACGCATCATAATGATTAATCATTTGCCAGGGATCAAACTGCAGTTCATCGATATGTCCTAATCATCAAATTCCCACTTCCCTTTGCAACGTGTAAATGATGCCATTATTTCAACTTGAGTTTCCTTGAAAGTGGTGTAAAACCCATTCCTCATGCAGAAAGCTTGTAGCTGCCTGTGAATTATCCTCACAGCAGCTCTCCGCAGAATTGGAAATAAATGGCTGATGATATACAGAACATTGAGCATAAAATTTTTTTTTTTTTATATCAAGTTTCTCATCAGAACACTGAGTGACAAGTTATTGCTTTGTTTTCTCATATCTCAGGCGTATTAGGAGCATAGTAAAATATCTCCTAGTTACAGAGCTGAATCAGAGCTCGATGCTGTTGTACACTGAAATGTTCTGGGGGTCCTCTGGGATGTTTCACGGGTTTTGTCTCATTCTAGATTGTATAAATAAACATTTCTGCCTCAGCTGGAGTATTTGCTATCATTGTTGTTTTTCAGATTTTGTCCTTCCCAACAGCAATCACTCTGAAAAATTTTGAATATCTCT